AGCCCGTGAAAAGACTGGTCCTTCCATCCTAGTCTTTTATTATGTAAATGAGGATTCCATCTGGTAGCAGCCATGATGCCAGTACACGTGGTTTTATCCGGAGGCTGCCATGACACCTGGCACACATGGTGACAAGGAAAAGAGGACGGGAGATGCCATATTGGGTGGACCTGGCTTTTAGCTACTGGCCTTGGCATATCAATGCTTGCAGGTCTGGTTTTTCAAGCCACTTTTTGTTAGAAACGTTTTGGGAGTTGCTTTTTATTAAAATAAAATTCCACTGAGAACTTTCACCCTAAAATTATTTTTAGGCTGCCTAAAAATAATTTCTTAATAACTCCTATATTAATATCAGTATTATATCACATGAATTGCTCCTGAATAGGATTTTCAATTTAAGACATTATAACAAGGTTTCAAAAGAGCAATTGAGAAGTGCGTAAAGTTCCCATGAGGACCAACGTTCTCTCAATTCTCCAGAGGATTCTGATGAATAAAAGAAAGAAATTTGTTAAACATGGAACAGTTTTGTAAAACAGACCAGGCTTCCCAAATTTGCATTGACCATATGATTATCATCAGTCTAGGAAATAAGAAACTTATGTATGCTTTGAATACAAAAAGTGCTCAATATACATCTAGCCAAATTGAATTGATGAAATGGACCTCCAAGTTAAGTTATTAAGCTTATATTTTTAGGTTTTATTTATTTAGTAAATATTTATTGAACCCCCTACTTTAATCCAGGGCTTTTTCAAGGGTTGGAGTGGCTGAAAAGTAAAGGCAGACTGGGTTGATGCCTTCTTGTATCTCATGTTCTAAAGGGAGAGTCAGATAATAAACAAAAAGGGTGCACATTGATAGGGATGGAGGCTTATGAGAAAAAGATTCAGTAGGGCTGTCAGAGAGAGACTCTGGGCAGATGGAAGATATATTTACCTAAGGCCTGAATAATAAGGATTCAGCCAAATGAAGACAAGGGAATAATAATCAGAAGGAAAAACAAGAGTGAAAGCCTTAAAGTGGAAACAAGACAGTGTTTGAAAAACAAACAAAGAAATACAAACTGGCCAGAACATATTAAGAAATGAGGAATATGGTGCTAGATGAGATTGGAGAGTCACATAGGGGCCATATTACAAAAGGCTAGCTGGGTAAGCCATGGTGAGGAGAATGGCTTGCTTTTTAAATATGGAGTAATATTTTTCTAGAAAATTCTCAGTAAGATTCTTTCACATCATTTCACATGCTACTGTGTTCGCTTACCATCAACTTCCAAGAAGCAAGCAAATGAAATGAAAATTGTTTTTCCTTAACTGTCTTTTTCATATGTTAAGTCAACCACAGTAACTTAACACATAGGGAAAAGTTATTTTTAAAAATGAGCATACTGTCCAAGATCAGTAGCTCACACCTGTAATCCCAGTGCTCTGGGGGGACAAGGTGGGAGGATCACTTGAGCCCAGGAGTCCAATACCAGTCTGGGCTACATAGCGGGACCCCATCTCTACAAGAAAATTTAAAAATTAGCCCAATGTGGTGGCATACACCTGTGGTCCCACCTACTCAGGAGGTTGAAGTGGGAGGATCGCTAAAGGCAAGGAGTTTGAGGCTTCGGTGAGTTATAATCATGTCACTGCACTCTAGCCTGGGTGACAGAGGAGACTTTGTGTCTAAATAAATAAATAAATAAATAAAATGAGAATATAGTTGTATGTTGTTTGTAGGAAAACAGAATTCTTGACTAAGGGAATCAAGGAAATTCAGTATTAGAGCAGAATTTTTCTTCTTCTTCTTGTGCTATGCCACACAAGATGGATCCTGAACAGTAAGATCACTCAGTGTGTCACCATGCTAAACAAGCTAGGATTGGAACTACAGGCTTGAAGTGATATTTGACTTTGATTTAGCTTGTGTTGCAATGATTACATTATTTAAAGGTACTTTTTAAAATTTTCATGTTCTAAATTTACACCTCCCATTTTGGTATACACACCCAGATGCTTCTCCTTATATTCTACTCTTTATTAATCTTATTTCTGTTGCCATAACCTAATCCAGGTAACCATTATCCAACCTTAAAAGTGCAGGCTTACTTGGTTAGGTTTTGCCAACCAGTGTAAAACAAACCATTTCCATCAATTTAAGGGATTGCTATGACTGAAGGGCAATCACGAGGAAGTATTTGCTAGTTAGGGCAAGGGTAATGGTACAGTGGAGACAAAACAATTTCATGCAAAGGTTTTAAGGGACTCATTTTCCACTGTCACTTTTCCCATAATACACAATTTCCCCCCAGATAATTCAGGGATCAAAAATTGTCAAGAGGAATGAAGCCAAGACATAGTATACCAACCCTACAGATAGAAATATTCCACCTGCTGTCTTCTCTGCCTAGTTAAGTAATGAAATACTTCACTGAAATGTAGTTCTTTGTAAACACTTAAAAAGGCGATTTTGTTTCTTCAATTATAAAACTATTTAAGTCCATAAAATGGAGATGCAAAAATCATGACATCTTGGCCGGGTGCAGTGGTTCACACTTGTAATCCCAGTACTTTGGGAGTTCAAAACGTGAGGATCGCTTGAAGCCAGGAGTTAGAAACCAGCCTGAGAAACATAGTGAGACCCTGTGTCTATGAAAAAAAAAATTTTTTTTTAAATAGCCAGATGTGGTGGCTCACATCTGTAGTCCTAGCTATTCAGCAGGCTGAGGTGGGAAGATTGCTTGAAATTAGGAGTTCGAGGCTGCTGATTGTGCCACTGCACCCCAGCCTGAATGACAGAAATTTTATCTCTTAAAAAAAAAAGTAAAGCCTTTTTTCTTGAAACTACCAAAATGCCAAAGGAGAGAGCCAAAAGAGTGTCCAACCCTGTGAACAATCATATAAAAAGGTTATCTCAAGAGCACATAGATTGCACACTAAGATCTTGTCTTACCCCAACAGTGGCTCTCTCCTTTCCACATTGCACTAGACAAAAATCCTCGCTACTTTTGCTCCCAAATCTTATCAAATCTATGCCCTCCACTTTTACCCACACAGACTATCCTTGGAACTTGTCTCCCTGATTCACCTCTATTCATTTTACCTCTGGCACTCACACTGAACTTATCTTTCTGAAATACATTTTTGATTGTGCTATTCCTCTGCATTAAAACATTAAATAGCTCCCTATCAATTAGAGGATAAAGTCTATAGCACACAAGGACGGCAGAATCTGGCCCCAACCTACATTTCCAACTTCCTCTTCTTCAGTTATTTCATTTATCCCATAAAATAGAAACCTATGGTTTTACTTTAACCAAGCAATAGTTTGTCACACACCATTACACCGTCTGTGCACTATTCCCTTGGACTGTAATGTTCTTCCCCCTTCGCTGCCTCAAAACCTACTGATTCTTTACAGCCAAGCTTAAACATCACTTCCTCTGTGGAGATTCCCTAGGTCTCCAAAGCATAGTTTAAAAACTCCAACTTGCTTTCTCCCAGTAGCTCTTAGTATATATCAGTCTCACAACAAAGATTACCCTAGACTCAGCGCTGTCAAATACAAATATGCATGCCACATATGTAATTTCAAATTTCCTAGTAGTCTCATGAAAAAGGTAAAGAGAAATTGGTGAATTTTAATAATATATTTAACTATTTAATCAAAAATAGTATCATTTCAACATATAGCAATATAAAAAATTAACAAGAAATTCACAGTTTTTCACTACTAATTCTTTGAAATCCAATATATATTTTTTACTTGCAACATATTTTAAATTCAGACACTAAGCTTTGATGGTTAATATTGAGTGTCAACTTAACTGGATTGAAGGACGCAAAGTAGGTGTGTCTGTGAAGGTGTTGACAAAGGAGATTAACATTTGAGTCATTGAACTGGGAGAAGCAAACCCACTCTCAATCTGGGTGGGCACAATCTAATCAGCTGCCAGCATGGCTAGAATAAAGCAGGCAGGAGACAGAAGAGCAGACTTGATGAGTCTCCTGGCCTTCATCTTTCTCCTGTGCTGGATGCTTCCTGCCCTCAAACATTGGACTCTAAGTACTTCCACTTTTGGAGTCTCAGAATTACACCAGTGATTTGCCAGGGGCTCTCAGGCCTTCAGCCACAGACTGAAGGCTGCACTGCCAGCTTCCCTACTTTTGAGGTATTGGGACTCTGACTGGCTTCCTTACTCCTCAGCTTGCAGATGGCCTATTTTGGGACTTCGCCTTATGATCATATGAGTCAATTCTTCTAATAAACTTCCCTTCAGATATATATATCTTATTAATTATGTCCCTCTAGAGAACCCTAATACACTAAACTGTTTTCCAAAATAAATGATCTGCATTTACATTTCATAAAATTTATAACTGAAAAAGCAGATTCACATACTCAAATGTACTTGAAAGTTTTCTAATAACTGAATGAAATATCAGATTTTTATTTTAAATTGAAATAAAAATTAAATAACACTAAAAATCAGTTTCTCAGTCACTCTATTTCAAATACTCTAGTGTACTAGAATGCAGCTAGTGGCTATCATATTGGACAACATATCTCTATTATAACTATCTGTGTATGCATCTCTCTTCCCTACTTAATTAGACCATGTCTAACTTGCCTGTATCCTCCTCACTGCCTAGCATAAGGTTTGAACACACAAATGGAGCTTTATGAAAGTTTGTTGAATTAGCAAAAATAAATGTGGAAGTCACTTGACCCAAAGGCAACATGAAATCAAGAGCATTCTTTTGTAAAGAATATAAATGGCATTTTTATGAATACATATACACGCTTAAATGCACACACACACACACACACATACAGTTCTTCATAAACACACAGCACAAGTACATGCATACAAGCACAGGCCTGCAGCATTATTCACAATAGCCAAGATATGGAAACAACCTATATGTTCATTGATGGATGGATAAAGAAAATGTAGTATATACATAAAATGGAATACTACTCAGCCTTTAAAAAGAAGGAAATCTTGCTATATGCAACAACATGGGCAAATCTGAAGGGCATTATGGAAAGTGAAATAAGCCAATCACAGAAGGACAAGTGGCCCATGTCCACTTATATGAGTTATCTGTAAAAGTCAAACTCGTAGAAGCAGAAAGTAGGATGGTGGCTGCTAGGGTTAAGGGGACGGGGGAAATGCAGAGTTGCCATTCACTGGGTGTAGTTTCAGTTATACATGAATACATTCCAGAGATCTGCTGCACAACACCGTGCACATAGGTAATGATATTATATGGTACACTTAGACATTTAAGAGAGTAGAGCTCATGTTAAATGTTCTTAACACAAAAAGAAAAGGAAAGACAATTAATAGCAAAAAACAAAACAACAAAAAATGTGGCTCTGGTGTGGGATATTAATAGTAAGGGAGTCTGTGTCAGGGAGAGGCAGGGCGTATATGAAAACTGTGCTGACTTCCTCAATTTTTCTGTGAACATAAAACTGCTCTGAAAAACAAAAGTGCACTTAAAAAGAAAGAAGAAAAATCAGTTAAGTACATTCAATTTGTTACTAATTCCTTCAATAATAAAAATTACTTGAAACATATTGCTCCCTCTTCCGCTGCACCTTCATCCCTCTTTTCTCCTTCCCTTTCTACATTTATGGGTATGCTACATAATTAGCACTTCATAATGTGTTTTTATATTCTCTAGTGGTTTTGCCTTCTCAAGTTGTATTTTAAGCTTCTGGAGATAGAGATAGAGATCATTCCTTGCACTTTGTAATTGTTATCACACATGGTTAAATGATAATAATGAAATGCAAGAATTTAATAACTGACATCTCATCAATTCTCAGATGCCTTTTTTCAGTAAAGGCTTTCCCAATCAATTCCAGAAGCCTAATCTCTCAAGAACGTTCACATTGATAACACTATCTCTGGATAGCTAGGACCCTGACTGCTTATATTAGCAATTTTTCTCTAATGTGCTATAATGTGTTTTCATGTGCAATTGTCCTTTACTCTCAAGAAAGTGGGATCATGTTTCTGACCTTTGACACAGCACCCCACATCACCTAGTGCAATGCTTTCATCAAAATGGATCCTTCTGTAGATGCTGCTTCCTGTTCCCGTTTCTCACTCCCATCTCCTCTAAATGGCCACAGGATGCTGCAACAACATGGCAAGAGAAAATTCTGTAAGGGCATCAATCTCCTTGGTCTTGTTGCTCTATATCCCTAATAATAGATAATTCTGATAAATGAGTGCACACATGTAAATTTCCACAAAGGGAATTATAGTAGGTTTATCATTTATTCTACTGTTGCTTGAATAAGAACAAAATTAAGATAAACACACGCACACACGAATGCCTCAGTGAATCAGTCACAGGGTTCCTCTAAGTCTAGGTTGCTGTCCTTTCTCTTTTGCTTGCGTAGCTCTTTGAAGGTCTCTATCTCTGCAAGACTAAACTTGGAGGTTAGCGTCACGCTGTCATAATCAAATTCTTCATCAAGTGAGAAGGGTTGAACTTCATCTCCAAGTATCTATAAAAGGTAACAAAGGAGGAAAAAACATACACAATCATCGTACATGAAGATAAAGTTGAAAAAATTAACTCTTTCTTAATGTTTAATTAAACCTTCTTTCAGACTTCAGCACTCTCAGCTGATTAAGCTGTTTTTAAGTAAAGGAATAAATTCAATTATTCAGTTTGACCTAATTTAAGCCTCTTAATATGCCCCATTTGTACCATGCTGTATCCGAATGAATATCATTAACTAATGCTGCCCAAGGCAAGAATCAGAAAATCTCCCTTGCATATACTGATTATACATTTTACCACTTGTAGTGTCAGGACTAGGGAAGCATACAGAAAAACTAACAGTTACATTAAAATGTGAGAAAAATATACCCTAAGATTTTAATCAACCTTAAATAGATTTTCACCCTTTGCTAAAAAAGATCTGTATTAATAAAACATACTTTTTAAATATAAAAATACCCTATATTGAATATACTCCTTCAGACAACGCCTATAACTCCTGGCTAATAACAGTAAAACTTGAAACACAGTCTAAATTTAAAAGTCCAGGATCTCTTTTTTTCTACCAAGAATTTAAAAATATTACAATTTATCATAAGTAAAGTGTTACAAAGATATGTAATAATTTTGAATCTATTCATAATTTGTGAGTTTTAAAGACTTCCTAAAGGAAGGCAGATATAAAAGCATATTTTCCGATAAACCAAGAGTATGCCTTAAATCTCTTGTATCACCCCCTAAAAAACCTCTCCAAAAACAAATGGTGTGTGATACAATGAAATCATCCAGCACTTCTGTGTAGCTCTACAATATGTATAGTGATGCTGAAATAATTGAAAACTCCGGTTTATGCAAGAACGAAAAAATGTCCTGAAGCTATAATCAGCTTTAAATATTCTTGCATGGAAGATGATCTCATTGAGTGGCTTTCACAATGTTGGTAAAAATGTAGCATGCAGCTCAGAAACTATCTGCTGTTACTAAGGTTGAAAGAAAAAATAATAAGTAGTTATCTCCTATCTGTTCCACAAGTTATGTTTTGTGGTTAAGTGTGCAGTGCTAACAGCAAATGCTCAGCCATTTATCATCCTTTCTTAGTAAAATCAGCAGGAGAACAACTTCTGGAGATGCTTTCATTTCCTCTTTATTAGAAAGTACCTGAGTGTGTTCCTGACAAAACTGCTACTGAGTTTGCATGGTGAGTTTGCCATGGTGAGTTTCCACCATGTGCCAACCCCCGGTACTAGAAACCACGTGGCATCAGCAATCGTCTTCAAACAACCCTGCCACTAGTCACTCTTAAGTAATTTGTCCAAAATACACAGTAAGGGAGAGAAGCAACATTTGAACCCAGGGTAATCTGTTTCAAATAAAGCCTCACCAGCTCAACAGAAACACCAGCAAGAATGAATCTTGAAGTTTTCACTAAGCTAAGTCATAGCTCTTTGGAGAGAAGACCTTTTCTAAATAAGATGATCAATTCTCACAACTTACCATTAGAAAAATGTACTAAAGGCTACATGTAATATCATGACTATCTTTTAAAAACCAGCTGTATACAAAAGGCAAATCAGCTTGCAAGGCTGATCAGTTCATTTTGATTACTTTCTGAGATCAAATTTATCATCAATATAGCCTAAGTAACAGTGGGACAATCTTGCTAAAATGGGTCATATGCAGAAACACACACATACAATGACATAAGATGTTCATTTTCTGAATATTAAGTGTTCTTGCTGTCTCCAGCTCTACTTAGCAATAAGTACTGAAGCTTGAAGGCTTGGCCATAACCCAATCCAGAGCCTATTCTAGCTGACCCTGGCAAAGCATGAGGAGAGACACCGTGTTTCCACTAATATATTCAGTCTGATGGGAATTTTGTGCCCTTTCACGCTTCGGTAAAGGCCTTTCATCATATGTCTATTAAGCTTTAAGCTGTCCATACCTACATGTGTCCCCTCCACTAGGTCTTTAAATTCCACCCGGAAACCTCTAAAACCTGCCTACTCCTTACTAGCCATCCTCACTAGATGCAGTCACATTATCTTCACCCACCTCTCACTTAGGGGTTAGAATGCAATTTCAAATTGGACAAATTGCTTTGCTGTGTTAAAATCTCAGTGACACTATACCATGCCCCCCACTCCCTCTACAGAACACAAATAACCTCACATTCCCACCTACCTCCCCCTTACCTGTTCACTCAATAAACACTTATTATGTAGCAGATTCTGGGAACATAAAGTGATTATAGTAAAATCTCTGTCTACAAGTTTTCATAATTGCAAGGAGAAGACAAAAGTATATAAATGATTTCAGTATCATGTGCCGTGCTCTCCAATAGAGGAATGTAAAAAAGGGAAACAAATGTAGAGAGGAAAGTGCAGAAGTACTTACAGCTAGTGCTCGACTTACGACCACAATTGGTTCCGACAGGCCGGTCGTAACACGATTTGGTCGTAAGTTGAGTAGGCTATATGTACAGTACTGTGAAATGATGTTATAAAAATCTTTAAGTCATATTTTATCATAATTTTCTTTCATTATTGTTATATATCATAATTTTCTTTGGTCATTTTATGCCATGTGTATCATCTCTACACCATTTTGTTTCTTATTTTTACATTTGTCAGGTTTAAGTAAAACACTGTATTACCAGTACAACTGGTTTAATATTTGCAAAACATACAAAATTACAAAATACAGGTGCATACAAAAATACAAAATACAGGTGTAAAAAATACCATAGGAAACATTTTCCCAATTGCAAAACGTATCAAAATATATAAACATGTACGAAACATTTTATTGGCCGCTGGTGCTTGGCTGCAGATCGTTGATGTCATCTGAGGCAGCAGTTGGGGTTACCGGAGTTGGTTTTTTCATAACATGGTGAGCTTTGTCTGAATTGTATGTTTCTTTTTTTCTTCATAAATTTCACGATACGGACGAAACACATCGTGTGCCATCCGTTCAATCCTTGCAAATCATTCGATGTTTGGGTCCATTACTTCGAAATGTATAAGAAGTTTACTCAGTAAAGATAAACTGTCTGATAATCCCTTAGTGGTCGACTTTCTTTCTGGCTCCTCCTCTTCTTTCTCTGCTTCTCTTCTTTCTTCTTCCGCCACTCTTTCTTCTTCCAGTTCAATTAGCTCTTCATTTTTAAGTTCTCCGGATTCTTTGTCTAGCAACTCTTCAACATCTTCCATTTCACACTCCAAAGAAAGGTCTTTAGAGAGTTTTACTATTTTTTCCCCAAATCGTTTCAAGTTCATGTTCACTGTCAAATTCGTCAAAATCATTAACATAGCGCTTAACACAGTTTTTCCAGATGCCATTCATGCACTTTGTCGTCACAGCCTCCCAGGCGGTAGCGATATTCTTGATACACATCAAAATGTTGTAGTGTTTCCAAAAATCTACAGCGGAGCAGTCATGACTAGCGATTGTGGTCGTAAAGTCGAATGGTCGTAAGTTGCATAGGTCATAAGTTGATCAATACCTGTACTCTTCTTCTTCCTTTTTTTTTGGAGACAGAGACTCCCTCTGTCACTCAGGCTGGAGTGACACAATCTCAGCTCACCCCGGCCCCCCACATTGCTGGGATAACAGGCATGAGCCACCTCACCTGGCTACTTACTCTTGATTGAGTTTTGCCACTCTCCAGAAAATCCTACTAGCATACTTACACATCATTTCACTTATCGCTCACCTCATCCTAGCAATCCAGATAAAGTGAGGCCTATATTTTGGACTTCCAAGCTCTGATCAGGGCTTGGATAGTTCTAGGTAGTTCTTTCTCAGCCAAGATAGTTCTAGATACAGGCCAACCCATTGCCTTCTTAAGATTCTCCCTTCCCTGAGGTCTCAAAATACCCTGTGGCTATAATATCCAAACTTATAGTACTAGAGATATATAAATTTATTCTTAAATGTAAATATCTTCTTTTTCTTTTTCTTTTTAATACATTTACATTCTTCTCTGTTATAAAGGATGATTTCCTTCATCAGTCACTTGGTACTAATGAAAACAGTAACATGGAATAAAGTCTTCAGCAAGTCAGTAAAGATAATGTCAACACAAAGATTATTCATATATACTATCCTTAAATGTATAAAAATATACTTAAAATATAAATTTCTTCACTTAGAAATTAAGGGTTATTAACAGCAGCTATTGTTAGATTAACTTTATAGGCAATCAGACACTGAGATATAAAAGCAAGAAATAAAGAATAGTAATAATGTCATGTTTGCAATGCCAAAATATATAAAAAAAAAATTCAGGATATTCTAAACCATTTTTGGGATATACTGTAATGTGGCCAGTACATCCCTGAGTTGAAATGTCACAGGAATAGCCTGTGATTGCAGGCTATTCCTGTGACATTTTACAGATTTTTTACATTTATTGTGACATTTATTCAGATATTTTACATTCCACAAACTCTATGTTCCTATTAAATTCTAGTCACTGTGTTAGGTGCTGGGGATACAAAGATGAAGACCTGTATGAAATCACAAACAAATGAGATACACACAAAAACACATTCGAGTAAAATATGGTAAGAACAGGGTGATGGGAACAGAGAAGGAATACCTGACCCAGACTAAGTTGGAGGGGATTGGGAAGAAATCAGAGAAGGCTTCTTGGAAGAGATGATATATAAGCAGACTCTTAAAGGGTAAACATTAATTTACAAGTTGAAAAAAAAGAGCTTTGCTGACAGGGGGAGTTTCGATGAGCAGGCCATGGAAATAAGATGCAGAATTTCACATTTGTGAGTCTGAAAGTAGGTCAGCACTGTCAGGGCACTAAGTGTAAGGCAGAGAGGGGCAAGAGACAAATATGGAGGCAAATCATCCTAGAGATGATGAAAAGTCATTGAATAATTTTTTGAAGGCTGAGAAGACACTTGGTCATCTATGCATTTCAGATAAACTCCTTCATCCATTCTAAATTTTATTAAGCACCTACGATGAGACAGGTGATGAAGAAAAAAAAAAAAAAAAGCCCTGCCCTGTTGGAAATTATATAAGACAGATCACTATGAAGGTTAAACAGAGAGTAGATTTGGGCAGGATAAGCCTGGAGTCAGAAGAGTACTTAAGAACCTGCTAGAGCAGTTCAATAAGAGATCACAAGAACAGGGCAGTGGTAGCAGAGATTTGAAAAATATGTAGAAAGTGATTGGATATGGAAATGTAAGAAAAGGAAGAATGAAAAAAGGGAAGAGGGAAAGATAAGCTCAGTTTGATCTGAATGCACTTGAAGGAATCCAGATGGATTGAATATAGAAACCTGAAACTGGAAAAAAAAAAAAAAAAAAAAAGGAAAACGGTCTGAAGCTAGAGGATACCAATTTGGAGATGACGATGGATTCAAGTTTGTAGGCTGGGAAGAACTGTAGGTTAAGCACAGAACCTTAAGGAACACCAACTCATAAGGGATAGATGGAGAGAAAACCCAAAAGAATCAGGGAAAAAACAATTTGAGAAATACATATAGGATCAGAGGAGAAAAGAGAAGTAAGAACCAATGAAGCAAGAGTGCCAGAAGAAGGTCAATGGTGTCAAACACAGTAGAGAGATCCATTAAAAGGAAAACTGAAAAGTGCCCGCTGGATTTGGCAATCATAAAGCAATGGGTGCCTTCATTCTGAAAACACCCAGGCAGGTAATTGGAGTGAAGGACATTTTACAGTATATTGAAGAGTCTAATAGCTTTTCAATTCTGGATGAAAAGAGAGAAAAAAGAACATACAGTAGCCAAAGAGGGGTCCAAGATGAAGGGAAGCTTGTTTTTCCGTGTTTTCTTTCATTTTGTTAAGGATAGGAAAGACTTAAACATGTTTACATGTTGAGGGGAGTGAACAAATAGAAAAGAGAGAATGACCCCAACCATGTTATTACTGTATACCAGAAAATCACTCCCCCTTAGTGGTGAGGTTTATGGTTTACTTATTTGTTCATTTAATAAATGTTTACTGCATGTCTACTATATGCATGGCACTGACCTTGGCACTCGTTCTGACTTTACGTGTTAATTAAGTAAGCTTATAAAGACACGCATGAGTGAATTTAGTCTTCCAAAACAAGAGACACATAAGCAATTCAAAGTGAGCCTAGGTAGGTGCACACCACAATGTAGAAGATATCACTGTGATCTTCTAAATGACAGCTTTGCAAATACAGTAAGGTTGCATTTTTATTTATGTATGTCAGCTATTGGCTGTTGTGGCATACTTCGGGAATTCTCTTCTTTCAAGTTCAATTCATTTTAGAGTTCAAAGCTATAAGATGCCAAGATTTTTAGATTACCAACTGAGATTATGACTTATTTCAGTGAAGACTTTGTGCAATGGAACACCAAGTCCCCTGCTGCTAAACAAAAAACAACCATGAATTAAGTTATTAACTTATTATTTTTGCTTAAGGAGCCTGAAAGACATATGTGAATTTCAGGTGTCTAATTTCAAATTTAATTGAAATCTTTTTGTAGCCTCTCAGGGAACACAATTTGTACACTATTGGAAAACTTTGATTCTCCTTAAAATTGCTCATGTGACTTACTCTAACAGAGACACTCTTGATGGAGAGATCATTTTCATTCATTGTACCACATAGGCCAATTAAAGAAAACAGAACTAATGTTTAATCAATAATAGCAGCATTTAGCTGTAGGCTACCATACAAAGTAATATGGTAAATAAACTGTCATCGTAAGTGAAAATTTTTAGAGTCCCATTATGAATTGGAAAAACAGGAGAGCTCCTATTAAAATACCACACAAGTTTCTTCTATGACCTTTTTGATAGTTTTCAGGGGGAGAGGGTGGGTATCACAATTTTTCATTCTCCTAAGAAGAACTCTCTTTGTCCTACAGAGCAGTTTAAAACTTCCAAAGTTCATCAAAATAGAGTAATTAAGGCAAGATAATTCAATACACATAATTCTATACACAATTATGCATGCGTATAAAGCCAGTGGTAAAATTAGGGAAAAAAATCTGAACCAAAAAAATGTTAAATGTTTGAAGTGATGGATATGCTAATTACCCTAATTTGATCATCCACATATATAGTACCAAAATATCACACTGTATCCCATAAATATATATAATTATTTGTCAATTTAAAAATAAAAGCAAAAAAAATATGTAAAACATTGAGTTGGTCCAATTCATATCACAAAGTTGATGGATTCTTAATAGGCAATTAAGAGAAAGTTAGTAAGGACATCCAGAATACATTTTCAGCTTTTCAGATTGAAATCACAGACAGAAACTATCATCGCTAATCCCAAAATGGCTTTTCAATAAGCCCTTATGGAAACATTTGCTGGAAATTGATGATTATGTTCTCTTACCGGCACTGGGTTCTTTAAAGTAAGATGAATGCTATCAATCCAAGGCAGAGTTGGTACAGTACAGGTTGAATATCCCTTATCCAAAATGCTTGGGATGAAGTGTTTTGGATTTCAGATTTTGGAATATTTGTAGAATATATACCAGTTGAGCACCCCAATCCCAAAATCTGAAATCCAAAATGCTCCAATGAGCATTGCCTTTGAGCATCGTTATCAACACTCAAAAAGTTTCCGATTTTGGAGCATTTTCAATTTTCCCATTAGAAATGCTCAACCTGTATTGTGATTCTAGATGGTTGTGAAAAGTTACTCTAAAAAATAGTAATTAGAAATAAAAATTCCCAACCAAGATATTACTTCAAATATTCAAAAAACAGCAAAAGTTGTTCATCTGTGGCACATATCATTTTGATTCCAACATTTTTAAATGTCCACATTTCTGGTAAGAGATTCATATTCCTCTTAAATATATCATCATATATGGGGTCTCAACTTGAATTATACTGCTATTTGATAGATTCCAGAAATCATTCCCTTTTTTTAACCGATTAACTAAAACCACTTTGTAACAACTTCTGTAATTGTACTAGATTACTTTTTAATTGTACTAGATTATTCTTTAATTGTACTAAAATAAAACTGTATTTCTATAAAAGTATTAGGTGCCATGTCTACTGGCTGGTCCAATAACTTGTATGGCCACAAGTGAAGTCAATAGCATGAACAAATCTTAAAAAAGAAGCTGATTCCTTCTAGAAATAGCCTCACAATTTTAGCTTCTTACGACTCAGAGAAAGGAATCTATAATTCAAAAAGCATATTGAGAAGTGGCTATCCCTACCAGTTTAGTAGGTAATCAATATGGGAGTTTAATATAAACCTGCACGCATCCTGGATATACTTTCATGATGTCAGTGAATAAAAGTACTATTAGAAAGTAGCAATTTAAAATTAAAATGTGTGGATTATTTCTGACCAAATGACTAATTCTGTAACAGAATATCTTTTAGTAACAAGACTAGTACCTCATGATTAAATAATCCAAAAAGGCCCTAAGGATGTTATTAGAAATCAAAAATAGAGAGGCCTTAACAACTTCTTGTGCCTGATCTCACTCTGTGTTCCATTAAGAAGCGTAAGAAAGGTCACTACCAGCACTAGGAACGGCCTCTATTGATGCACGTTTATTAAGTATAAGTAGAAGAGCTGCAAAATGATAGCAAAAGATGACATTTAAGTTGCACATTTACAAGAGTAAAAGTATGGCATAGATTCCATTTTCATGATTAGGTGACATTTTCTTGGCCTCCCATGTGGCTAGTATAAACATGTAACTAAGTGGTCACCAATGGAATGTGAGCAGAAATTAAGGGCCCTGAGTCCTAAGCTTGCAGAAACATGCTGCCCCTATACTCTTCTCTCCTGCCCCTCCAGGTAGGATCATAACCTGACATGGAACGCACAGGTGAGGACAATGTCCTAAAATATAATGGACATCCAGAGAGAAGGAACCTGGGTCCCTGATAACCCCCCAGAAAGGAGCCACCTACTCATTTTAAGGGCTCTATACAGACTGTTAAATAAGAGAAATAAACACCTATCTCTTTTCAGCTGAATTATTATTGGGATTCTCTGTTATAGCAGCCTGGCCTTACCTTAACTAATTCAAAAGTTTATAGAACCCTACCAATAACTAAAAAAAAGGCTGGTTCAGACTAAACAGGGCAAGAAACTGTCCATCCTTTCTATTGTGTCGTCCTTGGGTAGCACCGCTCTGTTGCATGGCATACATTGTAGAACAAAAATGGTTTCCACATAAAAACACAATTGCACTATCTGTTTAAAAAGAAATGTATATTTTTGAGGCAGATGGCTGTGAGAGGGACCAATCAAGCAACTTGAATTTTATATTTTCCCGAATCTTAGAAAAATACAAAAGCATACAGGTATGGTAGCATTTCTTTGAAAGGATAAATTACAAAATCAAGGCAATGTGGAGAATGAATGAATTCCCTGCGGAGTACCTCCTCCGTCTGTTTGTCCATTCTTTTTACAGTGGGCTTTGGCTTCGCTTCACAAGTGGGAGGCTGGGCCACAGAAGGGATACAAGAAGGAATGCTGGTGCTTACATTCTGCTCCACTTCTCCTGGAAGCAGCGGCAAATCTGTTGGATACAAAGCATTTCAAGTGAGCCTTTCGCCAAGTTCACAATTTACCTAAATCATCTAACTGCCCAGAAGTCAAAGAAAATGAAGCAAATATACTCATGTAAAATAGGTCCATTTCACAACACCTGTCTTCCTTTGGGAACTGGACTCAAGGGATTGCCCTTTCCACGTAATGGAAGTCATTAGTGCATTTATTTTTATTTTATGGTTGAAAACTTAAGAGTCCCCCCGAAATGTCTGGCGGAATGCTGTTTTTGGAGTAACCTGGCTGTCCCTTTTACTCTCAACTCAGTTTCTACTTTTATAGGAAAATAAGGCAATAAGATGTTACTTTTGCCTCATTTTCCCATATTTTCCTGGAGGGGTAAAGAGAAAGAAAATGGAGTGCCAATTTCATCCTGTAACAATATGGCAATATTTCAAAAATATATATTAAAAAACAATAATGCCAGAAGGAAAGTACTTTAACTTTCAGCAGGAAAATGAAATACTCTGTCATATTCAGAATGCAGGGTCTAATTTTCAACACTTGCAAAGAACAACAGCAACATGTTTCCTGCTTGTTAAGCACAATCTCAAGAATTCAATAACCAATCTTGGTTTTCTGATTGATCCATTATAAGTGGATATGTCTCCTGATTTTTGCATGTGTGATAGCATATGGATGCATCACAGACAACTGATGATTTTCCACAGGTTTCTTTAAGGAGGACAAAGAAACAAATAGAAGCACAAGAGGTTTCCTCCTCAATCTGTTTTCATGGGACCAGAAGGGCTTACTAGAGCTAGACAATAACTTGGAGCCGACTCTGGATAATGCTGCCTGCTTCTCAAGGATGATCTTAATTAAAACACTAATTAAGTTCTCAGTGGAAGTGATCAATTATTAACAGGCAAGACATGACTGTTGCAAATTGCAGCATATATAGGGAGATAAATGAGCAAGTATTGATATTCAAAAACTGAAACTTATTTGTAATGAATCCCTCAACACTGTAGATATTCCCTTCACAAAAAAATATAATTACAAAATTCTTATGACTCCAGCAACAGAGAACACAGCCTGGAAACAGAACTGTGGAGGGGAAATGGTAATTCTGCTATGACTAATTACTGAAATCTTAGACTATGAGCTCATTAATTAGCAGAAATAAAAACAATAATAGCCAACACTTACATACTCGTCATTTTATATGCTTTAACTCAGCTAATACTCCAAAAGCTCTATTATTTCCTGTTTTACAGGCAATGTGCTCTGCACACTAATAGGTAGCCTCACTCAAGATCCCACAGCTAAAAAGGGCAGAGCTGGGCAGTCTATCTACAGATAGAGCCTGTGCTCTTATCCTACAATGTCACATTATGGACTTCTTTTAAATAAGCATTTTAATTACATATTTTATTTTACTGTATCAAGTTATACACTCAAACTCAGAACCAAGAAATGTCGCTATTATAACACATTAGCATGGTTCGGCACCATTAAATACATTTCCCAAACATTTCATATCCAGAGAAAGCAGCATTTTAAAATTCAATGAGGTTGGTACAAAGACTGGTTGTCTAATTCACCTATTTATGAGTTCGAAACCAAACTCCCTCACTGAGCTTCTTTGTGTAACAGCCTGGGACTGGTACAAATCTGGTGAGGGACCCACCACAACAAAAGCAACAAGAGAAAGCCTGGGGCCTCTCAACATGAAAACCGTTATCTACCTGACCCATTGGCTGACAGCTCAAACATCAGTTCAAATGTGAAATCAAAGTCAATTCTGCTTTCAGGGCTATTTAAAATCATTGTTCTGGCTAACAGTATTGTGCAGCAAGGAGGACAACTGCAATTTCTTTACTGAAACTTCACTTCCCTAATCTATTTGCCAAGAAGGTAAAATTTTCAACAAAAATGGTTTCTTGAATAATAATTCTACTGCCATGGGAACAATTATTTCAAAATAACAAGACTCAGTAGTCTCCAAGTCTTAATTCTTGACATTTGTTTCTTCAAATTAAAAGCAAAATGCACTAATGCATATCTATTGGCGCCTAACGTAGCACCTTATACATAGTGAATTCTCAACAAATACTTGGAGATAGAAAATGAATTTTGTACACCTCAACTTTTAAACTGGACAGCAAGAATCAAGAGTCTGCCTGCCAATAAGACATTGTGGATGGTGTAAAATAAGTATAGCCCTTGCCCTCAAAAACAAACGTTACAGGAATAAGACTTTCATATATAAAATCAAAGAATAATCAAGAAAAAAATCGAAAGGCTCTAACTCTAAAGATGACAGATTTATAAAAGGGCAAAAACAATATGGATGAGAAGAAGCTGGCAAGGCATATGTTGTAAAGAAAACTACTGCAATCATTTAGCCATTTTACAATCGTAGGTGGGTTATATATACACTCATATTCTCTCAGAAGAAAAAAATGACTGTATTCACTGATGGTAGGAAATAAAATTTCTGAAGTTCTCTGTATAATTTTCTAAAACAGAAGTGCTTTAAGGGACTTAATCTGATCATATTAGCTGTTATTTCTGAAACAATCAAAGGCCTTGTTTCCATCTTAATGGAATGCCACCATCTTGGCATACAGAGTCTGGGTAACTTTCAAAAGTGAATCTTGAGGTTGGATGGCAATACTGGTTGAAGTATTTTAATCTCTTCTTTCTCAACCACATGTTTAGAAATTCTAATATTTAAAGTATCTGTTCATGCCATTTGTCTCTGTATGTTGTCAATGATCAGCAAGTCAAAGACTATAGCCATGTAATTAACACAGCGTTACAAAGTGAGCAATCTATGCGACATCTGAAAATTTATAATACAATAATATTTAATCTGCCTAGCAGATTTATAAAATTAACCAATCTGTTCATTTGTTGCAACATAAAATTGCCAAAATTTCCTGAATATGTTGGTCAAATACAAAAAGGATATAGATAAAAAATACCTTAGCCATCCAGGCTGCTTCTAAATATAGCTCCCAGCTATGATAGTCTTGTTCAGTAGTTTTTATTCTTAAAAATAATTGAAGACCCCAAACTGCTTTTGTTTATGTGGGTTATGTGTATCAACACTCATCATATTAGAAATTAAAACTGACAAGTATTCCAATATTTATATATTGGAATCATTAAAAATAAACAAGTTATATATTAAAAATAAACATTTTTATTAAAATTCTATTTTCTAAAAACAAAATATTGAGAAGAAAAGCATTATTTTATATTTTTTTGAATATGTTATAATATCTGACTGAACAGAAGAAAGTTGAATTCTCTATTTGCTTCTGCATTCAATTTTGGAAATATGCTGTTTTAGTTGAAGTAAAGAACATCTAGACTCACAGATAGGGAGTTGGAAAGGAGAGTAGTATTTTAACAGTCTTTTTATATATTTGTGGATATTTTTCTTTGATAACATACCATGATCTGAAAAATGATGAAGTTTTTTAAAGGTTATTTTCAATGACCAATCTGAAAATTTGTCAGTGAATTTTTTTTACTGATAAATTAAAACCCATTGGTCTATCTTGCCCACTCAATGGATCTTTCTCCTATGTATAATTTTGTAAACATCATTAATTGGTAATTTGGAAAATACTGGTTCACTGTGTTACATAGATCTTCCAAATGTTGACATATTTCACTATACAGTATAAAAATCACGTTAGTTAATATCACCAATTTTGCCAGAAAAGCCTTTAAATATTGAGAAGCTATCAAACTTACAGTACTAGATAAAAGTGCTCTAAAAATCTAATTTTCGCTTGATCCACTGCCAATTTTACCATTGGCAACAAATACTATTAGCTCTTAGCCTTGAAGATACAGGCTCACTTCATTCATTTTTGAGAATACAGTTGTCAGTCATTTTTTCAAATAAAAATGGTGATCCATGAAAGAGAAAAATAAACTAGTTCAGCACACCACTAAATCACCCAAGTGTTTTTCCACAACCACTGTATTTCAGTATGTAATAGAAGTGCCTTATGAACACTTCCTATTTTGGCACATAAATAATTTAAAAGAGGTATATTTAAGAATCAAGATTTAATAAAGTTAATACTTTTTACTACTTCATCAAATTTTCAATGGAAACTGGCATTTGTTTTGACGATAAATTTATGACAGTGAAGATGACAACTACGAGTATAATTTGGTGCCACAAACTTGATTCACACTAAGGCAACAGCAGCATCTTCACCCATCATTGCTTTTCCAACTTCAATGCTAACGTCAACACATGACCTGCAAATCGCAGGGTTTCTGAGGGGTTCCCAGATCACAGGGATCTGCTGCTTTAGCAAATGTCAGTCCAACCCTCCCACCATCAACAACTAGAAAAGCTAGATCAATTACAAAAATCAACTATTTAAAGGCATTGGAGAATTACCAGGGTAGCCCAGGACTTGAGGAACCAAGATTTCTGCCACAATTGTTAAATATTTGTTGAATAAGAGTCCCTAGTCATTCAGGGATGGCCTAAAGCTGCTTAAAGTTGCAAATTAGAAAATAACTTTAAAAAAAAAAAAGAGGTAACCAATGCCATCATTTGTATGCACTTGCTCACTAATGGCAATTAGTCCCATTAATGGACTAAAAATGACTGGAAGTTGCTACAGTTAGGATATGGTTTGCTTGGCCTCAGCAAGTCTCATGTTAAAATTTGATCCCCAGTGTTGGAAGTAGGGCCTGGAGGGAGGTACTTGGTTTGAGAGTGGATCCTTCAGGAACGGCTTGGTGCCATTCTCTCTGGAGTGAGTGAGTTTTTGCTGAGTTCTCATTCTTAGTTCCCGAGAGAACTGGTTGTTGAAAACAGCCTGGCATCTCTTTCCCTCTCTCTCAGTTCCTCTCTCATCATGCAGTTTCTGCACATGGGGCTCCCCTTTGGCTTCCACCATGAGTGGAAGAAGCCTGAGGCCCTCCCCAGAAGCACACACTGGCTCCATGCTTCTTGCACAGCCTGTAGAACCACAAGACAAACAAACCTCTTTTCTTTACGCGGCCTCAGGTATTCTTTTACAGCAACATAAATGGACTAAGGCAGAAGTACAGTACTGGAGAACCTGAAAATAAAAATCAGACCAGGCTGCCAACCTTTGAGCAGGAATCAGTGCCCATTCTCAGTCAACACAATCAGCCACAGCACAAGTACACTCCCAGCCAAGAGATGTGTATAAGACAGTATGATTCTGAGAAGTAGATTTTAAAAAATAAAAGTCTCTTCAGCTACTTGCACTCAACCAGAAAAGAGGTTGGGCTGGGCCAACTGAGGAAGCATAAAATTAAGATGAACAGAAAATCTTCCTTTTCTAGTGGCCTCAGCATAATAACTAATAACTTACTTAAAAAATGATTGCGCTGGGTAACAGTTTGGGCCAGTTTGCATGAGGCATGGCAGTCACCAGGTTAACTACCTCATCTCAAATTCAAAAAAGGAAGAATAGGTTAACTTGATGCCAAATAAACACAGTGCACCAAACTCTGCGGTAGACGCTACCCTCAGAAAACTGCTTAATACCACTGCATAGAATTGGCTTTACTGAAAAACCATCTCCACTCTTTCCACCTGGGATGCCAAATAATAAAACAAATATTAGAAAAGAATCATGCTCCTAAATCTTGGAGAATATTTATGAGAATGAATGGGGTGAATAAATAAAGTAAATGGCAGAAAAACAATATGCAAGCCACTTCCTTGTTGCCCCAGGCAAATCTGTTGCTTAAACAATAACAACAGGATCTAATCAGTAAGCCTCCCAACTGCCAAAATTATACAAGCAACTTCACTATTTAAAATGTCACATTTCCCATCTGATATAAATATTTGCCTTCTGCTCACATTCCTGAAGTGTGATACAAATTAGGCCCAAACTAAAATTCACCTTGGCACAAACTATTTAATTTATTTTTACTTTAAGTGACCCAGATTGTGCATTATGAAAATTGTAAAGCCCTGGTGGCCTTTTCAGTAATTAGAATAGATCGCGGAAGCCTAGGCTGATTTTCAGCCTAGCCTTTGCATATTATTCTACCTGTGGGAGGATCTTGACTAGTTCATTCAAGACTTGGTTCAGCCTCAGTTCTCTTTTATACACAAATACAAGAAGGCTTGTTATCTGATTTCTAGAAAAACCATACTAGTAAGATTTTTTGTCAATATTTTAATATAAATCTGTTAATTGAAAAATGTAACTTGAAAAAATATTTAAAGAAAATAATGAAAATACTGGAGAAGGTAAAAAAGCTAATTTAAAAGATTAACATACAAAAATCAGGTCTGTTGGCTACGTTGGTTTATGTCAATATACAGACTTCTCATACTAGCAAGAGGTGAAAAATTTAAAACATCACAAAAGCACCCAAAACATGTACTTTTGTGACCTCTTATGAAATTTATTTTATGTTGCATATGTATTACATGCAGACTAGAACCATTTGTCTCCACGTGTTATCCTCAAACTAATTATATTAGAATCCTGTAGGGTGTTGGTTAAAATGCAGATCACCAGATGCCACCAAAGATCTTCTGAATTAGATTCTCTATTGGGAAGGAGACCCAGAAATCTGCATTTTTAATAAGGTTCCCTCCCCCAAATCACCCAAAACCAAAAACAGTATGCTTCCTCTACAAATGTAGCTTCCTGACAAGTCCTTAGCTCTCACTTCTAATCCAATTGGAGTGCCTATGCTGCTCTTATTATAGAAATTCAGGGCCACTCAGCGAATTAAAGTTAGAGATCCCCTCCCTGGAGGATGTGATCCCTCCAGACCTCTAATCTCACTTAAACCAAGTAAGTAACTAAAGAATCTGCAACATCTACTGGTTAACAGTGTACTTGAGAAGCAATCCTTTCATAGAGTAGTGTGATGTTTGAAAGCAGAATAAAAATATTCATTGCTTCCAATAACCAAAGACTCTCAAATTCAAGCAGCTGAAGAAGCTAGAGTAGAGGTTTATACAGCCAATGTACAAATAGTCACCACCCCCAAACCAACTTTACCGAGTCACTTTAACATCTGTCTGATTATAAATAAGCCATTCTTCCCCAACACTAATAACCATAATTCATGTTTACAACCACCTAAAGACAGTCAACAACAGTTAAACATCAACAACCAAACTTCCGTGGAAACTGCCACTTCCCTAAAATTAGGCATTGACTTTGATATATTCTTGCAAATTAAATCAGGAATGAGTGAAAAAAAAAAAACTCCTGATTTTGAACATATTTCAAATGTCCTTTGAGAAACAAAGAATACCTATGCCTGTCCAGAAATGTTAGCCAGAAAGGAAGAAGTTTTCTTCTATATAAACATCAACAGACTAGCATGAAGCCTTTTTCAATTCAGCCAATGTGGAAAAATGCCTCAGAAGAAACATTTACAATATATCTTTAGTATTAAGGGTTTAATTTACATATTTAATAAATATTTTTAACAGGAAAAAATGGATTTTCTTTTCCTTTCTTTAGAATAGCTCACTGAAGCCTGGGCAGATTTTCAGCCTAGGCTTTCCATGTTATTCTACATGTGGGAAGGTCTTGACATTAGTTCACTCAAGTCCACTGAAACTTGGTGCAGCCTCAGTAACCTTTAATATAAGGCAAGACTGCCTTAATTTTTGTGATAAATTCTGATATTGTCATGATTTTTATGATTAACAGATAGTTTTTGTGTCTCTCAAAAATAATCGCAATTTACAAGACTGTACTTCTAGGAAATAAAGAGTTGACTTACAATGGCTACACTTGAGACAATTACCTAAGCATCAATCCTGTGATGAATTATTAAGGGGAAGGGCACACTTTTATTTCTTTTAAGACCAAAGGTTTCACTATCTTCAAAAGGCTTTGACCTTTTGGCTGAAATTTCTGTTATTGAAAAAAATAGCTCACAATTTTAGTTTTTCCTATCTCAGGAGAGGTGGAGGTAAGAATTGCCGAAAAAGGAAAGCTACCTAAAGCCTTATTTGTAGTTTCTAGAAAGATCTTTGACAAACCTGACAAAAACAAGCAATGGGTAAAGGATTCCCTGTTCAATAAATGGGACTGGGAAAACTGGCTAGCCATGTGTAGAAAGCAGAAACTGGAACCCTTCCTGACACTTTACACTAAAATTAACTCTAGATAGATTGAAGACTTAAACAGAAGACCTAACACCATAAAAAACCCTAGAAGAAAACCTAGGCAAAACCATTCAGGACATAGGCACAGGAAAGGATTTCATGACTAAAACACCAAAAGCATTGGCAGCAAAAGCCAAAATAGACATATGGGATCTAATTAAACTCCAAGCTCCTGCACAGCAAAAGAAACAATCATTAGAGTGAACCAGGAACCAACAGAATGGGAAAAAATTTTTGCAATCTACCCATCTAACAAAGGGCTAATATCCAGAATTTACAAAGAACTAAAATAGATTTACAAGAAAAAAACAAACCCATTCAAAAGTGGGCAAAGGATATGAACAGACACTTTTCAAAAGAAGATATATATGAGGCCAAGAAACATATGAAAAAATGCTCATCATCACTGGTCATTAGAGAAATGCAAATCAAAACTACATTGAGATACCATCTCATGCCAGTTAGAATAGCAATGATTGAAAAATCTGGAGACAACAGATGCTGGAGAGGATGTGGAGAAATAGGAATACTTTTACATTGTTGGTGGGAGTGTAAATTAGTTCAACCATTGTGGAAGACAGTGTGGTGATTCCTCAAGAACCTAGAAATAGAAATTCCATTTGACCCAGCAATCCCATTACTGGGTATATATCCAAAGGATTTTAAATCATTCTATTGTAAACACATATGCACACGTATGTTCATTGCAGCACTGTTTACAATAGCAAAGACTTGGAACCAACCCAAATGCCCATCGATAATAGACTGGATAGGGAAAATGTGGCACATATACACCATGGAATACTATGCCGCCATAGAAAATGATGAGTTCATGTCCTTTGTAGGGACATGGATTAACCTGGAAACCATCATTCTCAGTGAACTGACACAAGAACAGAAAATCAAACACCACATGTTCTCACTCATAGGCAGGTGTTGAACAATGAGAACACATGGACACAGGGAGGGGAGCATCACACAGTGAGGTCTGTTGGTGGGGACTAGGGGAGGGACAGTAGGGAGTAGGGAATTGGGGAGGGATAACATGGGGAGTAATGCCACATATAGGTGATAGGGATGGAGGCAGCAAACCACATTGCCATGTGTGTACCTATGCAACAATCCTGCATGTTCTTCACATGTACCTCAGAACCTAAAGTGCAATAAAATATATATATATATATATATATATATATATATATATATATAAAGAATAAACAATTATTAAGCAAAAAAAAAAAAGAAAGAAAGAAAAAAGAAAAGAAATAGAAAGCATACCCTGGCTCATTTGGGGTTTAATCTCTTCATCCATGTCCAAGACTTCTAAATCTAGGAAATTGTCTACCTAGAAAAAAAGAATTAACATTATTTTAAAGCAGAATAGACCTAAAAAAAAATGCAATGAAGTCAATGAACCCACTTCCACAACACCTAACTGAGCAGCTGAATCCACTTTTCTCATTAACTCTTGAGTCCCAGCTTTTGTGTTCACTGTGCTTTCCCAAGAGACATCTGAAAGAAGCAGTAAATTTGAAAGCTGGCCTGGATTTTGTAGGCACCATAGTTGGACCTCTCCACTGAAAGGGAAAAAAGCAGTCTAAGAGTTTTTTAAAGGGGACTTTGTTCCAGATTCTATCCCAGAATACCTACCACCACCATGACAGTTGAAAACAGTGTTTCTGGGTTTTGTTTTCATTTTATTGTTTTTGCCTCTCAAGCAAATGGTAGTGGTGGCTCTGGCTACCGTCAGAACAGTGTGCTTTCTTATAGCACTCTGAAGAGCCAGAGAGAAGAAACTAAAGAAAGCAGGAGAGAAAGGTTCATTCAAAACAAAATTACAAGAGAGGTGAGCAGGGCAAAAAATCAAGTGTTCTCTCTTTCGAGCAAATAAAACTGAAAATCACTTCAAAGGTAAAAAGCAGAGCAAATGACCTTTACAGACACAATAGCAGCATTTCAATGAAAAACTTTCCACATGGAATACTGCTTTCCACTGCAAGCTGACAATGAGACATTTTAGATTAACAAAATGGTAACATTTAGACATGAACTAATTCATCTCAAGTGAATATCAAAGAGTGTAAATAAGAAAATGATCTCACCACTGGCAGGAATGAGACCTAGTAAAGGAATAAGTTTGCAATGCCTTTTATGCTCATGACCTAAACATGTGCATAACAAAATACCATAAAATTACAAATTTGCATTTCATTGGAATTCAAAAGACAGGCTGGATCTTTTCTTCCCCCAGCTCTACTTGTGAGACCATAGCTATTACATAGGAATTTTAAATGGTACTTCCATTGCTTTTAAGTACATACCTGCAGTTATTGTCTGGCATCCAAGTGAAGGCAAAAATTTATCTTCCATACAATGATTTCACTACTAAAATTTCAAATTCTCTCATATTATACTGTTATTTACTTAGTGGTGTATGCTAAGGGGGACTGGAGTCATGTTTCTCTATCAAAGCACCCCTTTCATTTATTAAACTTTAAGGAAAAAAGATCTAGAACCCAGCTGACCAAGAACAGTTTAAGATATTCAAACACCAATTAATAATAATAATAATAATAAATAACTTGTAAGCACAAAATCTGTTGAATTCTTCAACTTTGTATAAGGCAGAGTAAATGAGTCCTGTGTTTTTAGTTTGTTTGTTATGCTTTTAATTCTTGCCAAGGAAACTGAATCATGCCTTACCTTCACCTTTTCTGCCCAATTCAGATCACCTTGAAAAGAACTGCCAACTTTTTGGCCTTCAGCCATCACAATCTGAAAAAATAGTTTTTGGCCTTCACCCATGACATATTGATGGAAAAATGAAACAACTGAAAATAAAGAAGCTGATCTTGTAGCCCTTCAGATGACATAACTCCCTTTCCAGTTTTTGTTAATTAGCTAAGCATAACAGACCAAATTCAGTAAGCCATGGCGGAGGTCAGGGAATAGGTTTCAGGAGCCCTGATTCTACTTCTGTCCTGCAGACTCATCCACGGTATAATCTATAATAGACTACTTAACCTCAGTCTTCTCTTGAGTCAAATAGGAATACTCCCTACTCCTATCCCATCCCAATAAACATCTGATGAACAAATCAGAGTATTATAACACAACATTTTCAAGTTATTAGAAAACAGTGTCATTCAACCATTCTTTGTTTCTCACACGCTAGTTAAAGACTCTCTATATAATATATTCCCAATGGTCAATCATTGCCAGTAAAGAGTGAATCCTCTAGGGAAAAAAAAATTCATATCCCACAATTATCTCTCTGGAAGCAAGTTCTGGAAATAAAGAATTATAGGCATCTGCTGTATATAAACATATTTCTAACACAGAGATTTTTGTTCCCTTGTAAAAAAAACAAAAACAAAAACAACACCACAATATACAATTCAGTCCACAATACTGCAAGGAAGACATGATGAGGCAGAAATTAGAAACTCAAACAGCTTAAAAAGTAGAACAGCTTCCACTATAATTCCTTGATAATTAAAAACCATAGCTGAGGAGAAAGTGAAGAGTCTATAAAGTCTTCAAGATTAAAAAAAGAGTATCTAACATTCATTGACCAAATCTTAGAAAAAAACAAGATTTCCAATTCTACATTGAGTTTGAAAGAGAGAAATCTAGGATGGGTGAAAGAAGTTCCATTTTACACAGAGAATTATAGAAAGGAACTCTTTTGTCCCAAATAGAATAAGACAAGCTAAAAGAAGTAATTTCAATAATTTATAGATGGCAGATCCTTAAGAACTTTTTAACAAAAATTGGAGATAACCAGTTATCATCATAAACAATAGCTGTCAAAATCATGAAATACATGCAATGATGACTTTCAATAAAGTGCCCCAATGGCACTCCTTCTAGAATTAGGAGTTACAGATCTAATAACTGTCTAGTTTTTATTAGAGTCTCTTTTTTTTAATTCATGAAGAATTATTTTCTCCTCAGATTGTTTCTATAAATGTACTATGTTGTATTACCTGTTTTTCCAAACATTGTGATGATGTACGAAGAAAGATGGTTTTATTTCTAAGATGGTAGTCATTTGCTTCATTTTTATGAGTAACTTTTGCTGAGATAAATATGTTTTCTGAAGAGTCAGTTTCAAACACTCCCCTTTTAGACACATGATCCTCTGAAATAAGAAGTTATGCACTATTAGAAAACATCCACAACACCCAGTCTGGTTTATTTTGTGTATATTGAGAAAGTTCCTTCCAATAAAAAAGAATACTTTTCAAAGAACTCTACACACTGAACGTTTGAGGCATTAAGCACTCTTGGTATCTCAAGCACATTGAGATACCATCTCACGCCAGTTAGAATGATGATCATTAAAAAATCTGGAGACAATAGATGCTGGAGAGGATATGGAGAAATGGGAACACTTTTACACTGCTAGTGGGAGTGTAAATTAGTTCAACCATTGTGGAAGACAGTGTGGTGATTCTGCAAGGATCTAGAAATAGAAATGCCATTTCACTCAGCAATCCCATTACTGGATGTATACCCAAAGGATTATAATTCATTCTATTATAAAGACACATGCACACATATGTTCACTGAGGCACAGTTTAAAATGCCCATCAAAGATAGACTGGACAAAGAAAACGTGGCGCAAATACACCGTGGAATACTATGCAGCCATAAAATAGGATGAGTTCATGTCTTTTGCAGAGACATGGGTGAATCTGGAAAACATCATTCTCAGCAAACTGACACAAGAACAGAAAACTAAACACTGCATGTTCTTACTCATAAGTGGGCGTTGAACAATGAGAACACATGGACACAGGAAGGGGAACATCACACACTGGTGTCTGTTGGGGGATGGGGGGTTAGGGGAGGGATAACAGGCAGTGAGGAGATTGGGGAGGGATAACAATAGGAGAAATATCTAATGTAGGTGATGGGGGGATGCAAGCAGCAAACCGCCATGGCATGTGTATACATATGTAACAATCCTGCAAGACCTGTACATGTACCCCAGAACTTAAAGTAAAATAAAATAATAATAACAATAAAAAGTCAAATCCATAAATAACACCAGCTCTGGCCAGCTCTCTACTACTGCCTACTGTACCAGCACCAATGACTTCTAACTAGCTATTAGAGGAGAGGTGGCCCATGCCTCTTGCCTCAATAAATCCTTGGAAATTCTGGTGTGAAGCACCTAACCTTGGCTGTTGTGGGAGGTGCTGAGCAAAGTATGGGGAAGATTGCTAAGAATATGCCGGAGTAACCAGCCCTATACAAGATGAGATGAGGAAGAAATGGTCTGAGGACTTAGTCTCCTTGACTTCTTCCTCTTTTACAGTCGCAGAGAGGTCCTGAATCAGTCCTAGGGCAATAAGCAGTGGTAGCAGAGTAGAGCAAGATAGGCACGGAGACACTTCGAAACAGGAGTTAACTGAGGGATGAAAGGGTTCCTCAAACTTCATCAATGTTAAAAGGAAAGCAGACTTCCTGTGGCTACTGCCATGCCAGTGCTCTGTTCTAATAAAAAGTGAAACAGTTTCAGTTTTCTCTGCTTATAGTTTAAAAGAAATATAACCTAAACCTAGTAATTACTAAGAAAATACCATGTACCCAGCACAACACTATTGTAATCATCTATTGACTTAAATACTTGAAAAGCACAGCACTGTCTGAAAATAAAAGATGTTCTACAAGGACAAGTTCTGTTTGCTCTCACAATCACTCAGTGTACTTTGCTATTTCCGATAAAAACTCCCAGGTTACGTGACAGGTAACCAGATGAAACTTCTTTGAAGTAAAGAGCAGAGTATAATGAAGTCCCAGCTTCTGATGCTGATGTGGAACTATTGTTGCGATATCAGATCTAACAAAAATTCTCATCTACTCTTTTAAAATTTCTCCTTTCATAAACACAAAGTTTTCCTTTTTAAAAGATGGGATGATGCAGAAAAGAACTTGTTCACTCTCTGACGAAAGCTACAGTTTAAGGTTCCTTTCTAAACTTCAAAGTTGGTTTCATAAGAATATATGCTATATCCCTTCAAAGGCCCAGAAGTGCTCCTTCTAAAGGCTTTTATTGTTGTTTTTAAAATCCAGCAAATAATAAATATCTTGGCACAATGAAACAGGAAAAAAGTTCTTTTTCAACACGATAACGTCAAAATGGCAGATGCTGACACAGCCCAGAATCTGGAGTGGCTGAAAGCCTGATTAGAGCGCCAGATGCTGCTCCCCATAGTGATCCTGGTGCAATCCAAATGTGCCACCCAAGTGTTCATGTCATCTTCTTCAGTTTCTGTTTTTCATCAGAGTCCTTTTCCACCCTTTCATCTTATCCCTAATGTTTCTTGCTTTGAAATAAGTGTCAGACATAATATGGTTTAGAAATCTAACAGCAATATTTCAGAGAACAAGTAGGTTATTGAGACCTGAAAAAGCGTTTCTTTGGGCATTTCTAAGTCAAAACTTCAATACAGATGAGACAAAAAGTTTTTTCCAAAGGTTTTTCGAGGTTTCATTATTCTGAAGCAATGGAATTTCAATTTCCTTTTGATACCAAACAGACAAGCTTCCAACAGATCTCCCTTACAAGGCCCCCACTACGGCTATAGGGTCTAATTTCAGACCAAAGAAAAAGGTTACACACCTTGAAAAGGTTGAAACTTTTGATGTCTTGATAAATTAAACACTAACCACATATTGATTATACATCTTCCAGATAAAAGTGATTATTTTTTAAGAACTCAATTTTGAAAGAAAGTTTTTTAAAAATTCAAATTAATCTGTACCAAAGCCAAACTAGTGCCCATGCAATGAGAAGCATTATCACACTTGCAGGAGAATTTTCACAGATTAGCACAACCAACATTAGAATTCACAACCAAATCTGCCAGCAACCTCGGAGTGTCTGTTCTTCTACACCCTGGTCAATAGCAATATAAATCAAGAGCATGTTCTCAGTTGAGAAGAAGGATTGAATATATTGCTAGAAGGAAAGAAAAATTCATGGGGGGGACAATTCCGTGCAACACCAGGCAATTGCAAAAAGCTTTCTGCAAAGAGAATAGGGGATAAGCAATCATGCTTATAACAAGGTTGGGTACTCTGAAAGTCAGGGAGTGATTTTTGCATTATACTCCTTGCCTAGAGCAATGTTTCTCTGGACGATAATGTTTCGTCTTGATTTGTCCAGCCAAACTACTTCACGCCACTGCTTCTTGATCATGTGCTCCTTGGTATCTGGCCTCCCCTGGAGCGATAGTCGTTAGAACTAAATAAGCAATTTAAAAACCAATCAATCATAAATCAGAATAAATCCAAAGAAGCTAAATTCAGCAGGCAAATGCTTTGTCTAAATTCCCTTTGCAGTGCTCTGAATTCCAACTGTTTTATGTTCCTCATTTGAAAGGGCACGGGGAGGAGAGGATTACTTCAGTCTGGCCAGTCAGGAATAACTGTGCTTTCCCCGAGGCAGGATGATAATTGACTCATTATTCACAGTCATAGCCATCAACCTGCCAAGGCACAAATGCACATTGCTGGCCTGGAAAAATGTGTGTGAAAAGCCCCAGATGAGGGACACAACAGCAGCAAGTTGACATTTTTGAAATGTCCAGTGTTAGGCACTTACAGAGAGAAAAATATAAAAAGATTATAATGTTTCTGGAAGCTTATTTTCAGACAGAAAAAAGTTCTGTGTGAAGTTTGAGTTATGGAGCTCATTCAATCCGAAAGTTATATTCTGGCCATCAACTATGTGCAAGGTGATAAAGATGGGTAAGACCCAGTCCTTGTTGTCCTTACAGAGTTTGCAAACTAGGAAGTTAAGCCATATATGCAAACCACCAAAAGAGAAGGCACCAGTGGCAGATGATATAAGGGAGATACAAAGACAAAGAAAGGTAGAGTAATAATTGATTTCGGAGAATCACAAAGGCTTCACATAGGACTAGGGCATCGGAGCTGGTCTTTGAAAGACAGCTACAATTTCAACAGGTGAGCATTGTGAAGTGGTCATTTTACAAAGAGAAAATTCCATGAGCGAAGCCCTCAAGGTGAGAATGAACAAGGCCTAAGGAAGAATCACTGGTTATTCCAGGAAGATTTGGGGACACATGGAAGGGGTATATTTAGAGGGCCTGACAAAAACTCTGTACTTGACCTACATCTTGAAGAGTCAAAATTAGAACTGTACTCTAAGAAGAAAAATAGATAGAATGGATCAAAGTGGTTCAGGTACTAGAGACAAGAAAGTGTGGAGCTACCACAGTAACCCAGGTGAGAAGTAAAGGGAGCTTCAGCTCTGTGGCGGTGATGGGAACAGAAGAGATTCAGAAAAGAAGAGTTCACAAGTGAGTTCTGTTTTGTGTTTACAGAACAGAAATAGAGGCAATATCCAACTAGTTATGTTTCCTCTCTCCAGATATCACAGAATCATCACCTTATCTTTCCACTGCAATCTGTACTATACTTTTACATATAATTTGGCATGCCCTAGATAACTTTTTTAAAACAAACTCTGGGATGGTGGGTGTAAATACAGCATGCTGGCAACCTGTTGAGTGGATTACAGTTTGGTACAGAGAGGCCACACATACCCATTCCATAAAATGAGCTTACCTTCCCGATCGACCTAATCAAGATCACAAAAGAAGTGGCCCACACTGGGAACAGATGCAGCGTATTTGAGCATTGCCTCTTACAGCTCCAGAATTCCTAACAGAGCAACAGCTGCTGATAACAATGTCAACACAGGGTAGAATTTGCTACATCCAAGTTTGTTTTTGTGCCACAGCCCTTTTCTAGGCTAAACTTACACATCTATGTACAATTGATTTATTTTCTTAATAGGTAATATTTATAGACAAGCAGGATGCTCCTAGTTCTTGAGTCAAACCCAGGATCACAAGAACACATAGGAGGATCTAAGTAACCATGAGCAATACCTCCACTTCCCCACAGCTTTATTGAGGTGTAATTTACACACCACAAAACTCAGTCATTTTAAGTGTACAGTTCATTGACTTTTAGGAAGTATACACAGTTATACCACCATCAACACAATTCCACTTTTAGGTCATTAAATCACCCCAAAAAGGTGCCTGGAGCCCATTTGCAGTCACTCCCCGTTCCTACTCCCAACCACAGGCATCCACT